TAAACTGTTCTTCATACATCGCTACAATATGGAGCTAAAAATTACTAAATCAAATCAAAACCCAGTGAATGGAACTGATTCACTGTCACTCCAAAGATTCACACTCCTCTCAGCCAGTATCAGCAAAGGACTTAATGATTGCTGATGCTTATCTAACATGTCTGATAAAACTACAGAAATTGTTATTATATTATTAACCTTTATGATATAAAAGGTTGTATACCGTGTACAGTTTATATTCTCCATACTACTGAAATAGCATAAGTATCATAGTAGCAGCTATTCTGAACACTGTCTCTCTTTTTAGTCTGGAACCTCAACAAAGACTCAAATGTGTAACCCAATTACATCTAATGATGCTTCCTAAAAACAAGTCTTGAGGCTCTGAGTGTCCCTGTTTGCTTGAGTAAACATGCCATGCTGCTCAACTGGGTTCAGATGTTGGCAGGCCCGTAATGCGTCCCTTGAGTCTTTAAGCAACAGGTTGAAAAAGGCCCAAGGACAATTCCCAACCAATCTGATCTCAGGAATGGAGTCTGATAGCAATGACCCAGTTTAGTGCTGGAAAACAGAGGAGGTGGGGAGGAGTGAAAGCAGAGACAGACAGGAACTGAGGCTGGACATGGTGTCCATGGCGACCCTCGGTCTCCATGACTACGAAAGAGACCAGCTTCTCCCTTGTAAGTCTGGAGATTCACACCACGCTGTCCAGCAGAGCTGAGCTCAACGGGCAGTGTGAAGAAAACCAGTCTGAACGAAGAGTTCAGTGATAAACAACGACTAAAAAGACCAAAATCAACCTGAGGGTTTAAACTTGGAAATCTGATTTCTTCTGACCTACAATTTGTAACCTGTAGGCAACTTGTGATTCATTTGATTCGGAGAATCACGATACGAGACCAAACTGATTCTTCTTGCTTGACAAGTGAGAAGTTCTCAGTAACAGCCTAAAGGTGTGGTCAAATTTACTGTTGGTTGGCAAAATCTAGCCATTTCAATAGGAATTCACACGATTGGGAATTTTGTGTGAGACTGAAAGATTTCACAAAAGGATCAAGTTGGTAACGCAAATTGGTTATGTTGATCAACAGAAAGCTTACAGGTTTGAAAGATACATCGCTACACTATTAACACCTCTCTACAAAATGTTCCCAAAATTTCACTTAAGTGCCCGCACTTTAAAGATGCAAATCATTGGCCACTTAAGGGGGTTTGATGTAGTACTAGGAGACTGAATATTTGTTCATGACTTTGTTGGCAATATTAAATAATTATTATTGTGATCATTTGAACACGCTTTTATGGCCGTTACGTTTTCTAAACAAGTTTCATTAGAGAAGTTCTGTGATGCACAGGAATGATTTAATAGTGTCTGATTTGAACTTCAGGAGCATAAAATTGAGCATAAACTTGTGTTAAAAAAAAAAAAAAAAAGTGTAAAATATATATTAATCAGCTCGAACTGTACATGAACATTCAAAAATTTTCCCAGGTAGTCATTTTTGATTTTTTAATTAATTATTATTCTTATTATTTCTTAGCAAAAAGGTAAACATTGCGATGTATTACTTTTCTATTGCTATATATATATATAAATCGATTAATCGCATCCAAAATAAAAGTTTGTGTTTACATAATATATATGTGTGTATATTTATTACGTGTATATTTAAGAAAAATATGTTATGCTTGTATATTAAAATATATGGTAACACTTTATTTTAAGGTGTCCTCGTTACATGTTACATGTACTAACTATTATAATAACAATTAATTATGCATAATTACATGCAAGTAACCCTAAGCCAAACCCAAATCCTAACCCTAGCATTTAGTTTTTTTCTAAATGCAATAAATCCATTGACTCAATATAAAAGTTATTTTTCACATTGAAACTGTTGAAAATACCCAACATGGTTATTCCACATATGACAGTCTCTGAACTTGGTCAATATTAATCTTATATGCAGGCACTGGACAAAAAAAATACATTCAATCAGTCATCGCTCCCAAAATGAATTAAACGGGTCATCTTGTTAATGCTATAAATGAATTACAACAATAAAAAAAAATTTCATCATGAACAAGAACATGAACAACAATATCACATTAGACCACAGAAATTCCAAAATGACATTT